CCTCCGCTATTTTTAGTATTTTCTCAACACAAAACCAGTGTGGGGGGTTATATTACTGATGTTACAAACATCTTTACATAAGATATGTCATAATAGTGTGTGTCAGGGGGTTATTTTATTTTTTTAAATAATAGAATTAGGATATATACTAAATTTCCAGAATGTAGTGTAGTTAGGCATGTTTTTTTCTTCTGGTCTACACTGTAAGACAACGTGTTCTCAGGTCCGTAACTTTGAGAAACAAATACTTTAATGCAAAAAGAAAGTCAACAAAAAGATTCCATCAGCAGAGCTTCTTTAATTTAGGCCACTTACTGCCTGGAGCAATGTATCTAGTCTAACCAGCACCAAAAAATATGGCAGTAAATCATAGACAAAACAAGGATGTTCTGAAACAGGCACAAGACTTGCTTGTTTTAGTACTGCATCATGTGAACAGTAGGAGTGAATAAGGGAAATCTAACTTTGGGTATAACTGTGGTGAAAGCACCAGTATGATTTACTTATTTTAAGGGGTTTTTTTGAAGGTCTCAAACAGGAGACAGCTTAAGCCCCCACCCTCTCCCACCCACTTATCTCGGAATTCCTTACTTTCTCATGAAGGTCTATGAACTTCCAATAGACTTCACAGTGTGAGCAGCAGTGCTCTGAGAGAGTTGCCAAGTTACGTCTTCCTAGTGCTGTGTTGTATTCTTACAGAGCTCTGAGTGGAGCTAGTCAATTTGTTCAGTAATAAACTTGTGGCACAAACCATGACAGTAGGAAAGCACAGATAAATTTACTTCAAATTCATTTGGTATCTCCATGTATTTTAGAAGTTAAAATTTTATCAATGCATATTTAGATAATACATACTTGTCCATATTCTACTGAGTCTTATTTAAAATGAGTATTTGAAATACCCACTTCAACTATGCCCTTGCGGTTGATCTAGCCCTGTTCATTGCTAAAATTTATTTGGAAGAGGATGACAAAATTGGAAATAGTGTATTTCATATCTCTGTGATACTGTGTTATTGTATCTTATAAAAACAAGATCGTTTGTGTATTCAGAACTTCACATACTCAAAGTTGTGATGTAATACCCATTTATGTGTGGACATTTTTCACTGAGATAAGAAACACTCTGTAACAGCTTCATTATTATTATTATTGCTAGATTAATCACAGGAGGAATGTGTGAGAAGTTCCTAATTTAAGGTATTGAGACTTCTGAAGCGGGAGGATGGAAGAGAGACGAGAGATTCCAGAATATATAATGACTAGAAAAGAGACCATAAATAGCATTCTTCTTACTTCTTCCTACGCAAAATGAGAGTGCTCTGAAACATTTTAAGAGCCAACAAATACATGTAAAAGAAAGGATTCTTATGCCTAATATAACACTTTGCTTTTTCTGTCACAGGAAATGCATGACATAAAGTAATTCTATAAATAATAGGAAGTTTAGTAAGTGTCAGGAAAAAATTGTATGTATGAGAGTATTATCTACGGCCGCAGTAGCCCAGATAAGATATATACAGGCTAACACTGTAACTGGCGTAAATCTGGAAGGCTGAAATCATAAAGCAGTTTTCATCCACTGTCTTCTCTTCCTTTTTGCCCTTCCACCTTAAGAAGCTCCTGTTGCAAAGGTCTTCTCATCTGGTTTTCTGAAGACTGTGATACTGATGGAGATATTGAGCTGCACAGGCTGGTCTGGGGTTTCTCTGTTGTCTTTGATGGAAGTAGTAGTAAACTGAATTAGCTCCTTTATGGCATATACAAGGGTAATAAGTCTAAACAGAAGTAATTGATAGCTCCTCTCAAATAGTGCTAGAAATACACATCATATTGTTGTATCATATGTTAGTATCAAGTTTGTTTGACTTTCAGGATGTGCTGGTGGGTGGCCAGCCAATTTCGAGTAAGAGAAGTTTTATACTTCTCTTTTCATTTTAATAATTACACATTTTGTGGTGTAAAAAGAATTCAAGAGATTCAGGATATAATTATTTGGCTAAAATGGGGCTGTATAAACAAGGTTATTTACTGTTATTTGGTAACTAAACCAGAAGAAATTAAATTTGCAATTTTATATTATATAAAAGGAAAATACTTGTGATAATAATTTCCTCTGTGTGAATGTCAGTCATACTAGAAACAAGCTTTAACTGAGAAATTTACAGTACTGTTTTGGGTTTTTTTCTTCAGCATATTTTGAAATTCCAAACATACTGGAAGAAAAGGCATGCAGTATGACACCTTAATGGATAAAGGGCAACGATTTAAGTCAATGTTATCAAAGAGTTTCATAATACATATTTGTATCTAGTGGAATAATGTTTACTTTTCCTCTCTCAGGGCCATTTTATGTGCCAGATCTAGTTACTTTGCTGCTATGCTGAGTGGAAGTTGGGCTGAAAGCTCCCAAGAGCACATCACTCTTCAAGGGTAAGTGTTGTCTTTGCAAGTCGTGTGGGAGCAAAGGTAGGCCATTTAAAATCACTGCAAATATGTAACAACTGTGCTGTGTGTAGAGCACTGAAGATTAATCTGCCTTGACACTTTTCTTCAACCTGATACATTTCCTGAGTACTGTTGTGACTTCAATATGAAACAGGGTGTGTAGTGTATTTGTTAATATTTTGTCAGATGGTTCAGGGAATAAGTCTCTTTTATCAGCAGAAGAGTACTAATCTTTTTTTGTAGAGTATGTTTTAGTATTCCCAGTCTATTTTACAGTTCTCTCACTTCATGTTGTACATGTTATGAATGCACAGCGTAATTTGTTTTCATATCTATTTGTACAATAAGACTATATTTTACAATGTAAAGACAAACAATTATGTTTCTTAATTAGTGTTTAATAATGATATTTCAGCATCATACACTAAAACAATTTTGACTAGTGTGCTTGTTCGCAATGGCTTTCTGTGTGAGAGCTGAAAATAATGGAGCTGTCAGTGTAGGATGAATACATAAGACTGTAGATAAACTGGGGACTGCCAGGTTAGTTCTTTTCAGTATCAGAAAAATCAATTGAAATATATTAAAATTTCTTTAAAAGCAAACTAACACTGATACTTGTACATGTTAGCTTTTTTAGTTCAGGCATGATACTGGCTGACTCAGCTTTCTTCAGGAAGAACTGTGTACCTTACAGTGTTGCAAAATATAATTGCTTTGTGTTAATATAAAATTGCTTGGCCAAGTGATACTTTCACATATCTTCATAATTTTAGTTTTCTGTCAGTGTAATAATATTGCTGCAAAATCAGCAAGGTTATCTGTTGATTTGGTCACAACTTCCTAATCCTTATAAAACAATACACTTTTAATTGATTCCTTAGCTTTTATGCTATGCATAGTATGTTTTAGAGGCTGATAGTCAACAATTACTCTGGTATTTACATCGCTCTCCCTGTAATTGATTTCTATATGGCGAAGAAATTTTCATCCCTGTTTTTCAGTAGAGGCTTTCTCCTGAGAAGTACTTAATCTTTGTATGAGTATATTCTTATGCCAATGTCTCTTAATTTCTGTAATTAAGAATCATATCCATTCATTTTACCTTTTCTAGTTCAGTTTTCTGCTTGGTGCAGATTTCCATGCTGTCTTTTTAAACACTTATAAATAAAGTACATATGGCTTATTCTGAAATAATGAAAATCCTGCCTAAGATAACAGCTGTCAAGACTGTGGGGAAACTCTTTCTTGCTGATTTTATGGCTATCATGTGTACTAATACATAGAGAGACAACTGTGTTGATTTTGCATCTTAGTGTGTTGCAACCTTTATTTTTTTCCCTTTTGTTTTTAGTCATCAACGTCTGTTGCTTAAACATGTCTAATGTTTTAAAGGGTCTTAGCTCAATCTGCATGACTGTATTCCATTTACACTAATGTACACAGCCCTTGCGGGTTCTGAAGATTGCACAGCGAGACGTACGTACATAAGTAGAATAACGTATTGTTCAGGAGATCGTGTCCACCGTTTAAAATACACATTCTGTGCCTTTCCCTGTTATGGTGCTGGGACGATGCAAGGATGCAAACACAACTCTCTGTAGAAATTCCGTATTTCTTAATCTGAATCTAGGCATAAAGACTTTTTCTAAATATTTTGAGATGCAACATTCCTACTTAGCATCTTAGTAAAACTATTAAATGTATCTTTGTTGTGGGTATTATAAAAATTTTTAAATATATAGTTGCTTAACAACTGACTTACTACTAGTAAAGAGCTTCGAGATGATGAAAAAAAAAATCCTTTCTGCATCAGATCAGTGTAAATAGATACTAGTATTAGTCTGCTTATGACTTAACTTCAAAAATGTAAAGTAAAGTTTCAGCAAGACTATTGAGGGGCAAAATTCACTCAAAATATAGTCCATTTAGATCTTTTTATATTGCAGTAATCTTAAAAACAGCTTTAATTTTATCAGACCATTTACCTTCCATTCACAGAACGGCTGGATGATGTATCAGCCTTTTGACTAACTAACTTTGGCCAAGAAATGTGCTGGGTTTTATTTTGGACATGTCTTTATTTGTATTTTTTTTTCTTTCTTTTTTTGCAGCATAAGCCATGTAGAAATGAGTGTCATCTTGCATTTTATATATGGAGGTATTCTGGACTTTCCAGACAAACATGATGTTGGGTATATGTCAACTTTTATTATTTTTAATTGTAGCTTGTGCTTGTTCTGTATTTTCTCAGTTAAAAGTCAAAAGGAAAATTCTTCATGTAGTATAAATAAGACAAAGATGTCAAATATAATGATCGTTACACCTAAACATACTTGAGGAAATTCCAAAAATAAAGCTGTTGAAGAAATCTTGTTTATTTGGCAGCTACTGGAAAAGGTGGGCCAGACATTTTTGGAGTATTATATAAGGAGAGTGAAAAACAGGAGGATGTTTTATACCAAAATAATTTCCCAGTTTGCCTGTACTTTCCTTTTAGTTTTCAGAATAAAATGTACAATGTGTGATAATAGATAATAGTTAATATTTGGAATTTATTTTTAAATAATCATTTGAGCTGATTTGAAAGCTAAGTAGTTAGTCTTAGATCCATAAAAGATGATCTATAGCAACTAATGTAAATGTTGGCATTTTCTTCTGGGATAGTTTTTAATCACAGTTTTATACATAATCCTGAATTAGCGAAGTAAGTTCTGAAATGTGTGAATTATTCCCTGAAACCATTTATATAATAGGTGTTGAAGTCTGCTACTAAATATTAAAACGCTACAATTTCTTAATGTGAGAAATTGTTGTTCAAAGCTTATCTATCTAAAATAAAAATATGGAATTGTTTATAGTATGTCCCAATTGTCAATATTTAGGTAATGAATTGATATAGACCATAAAACTATGGTATTGATTATTATGTAAAATAATTAATAATTTGCTCACTGTGCTTTTTAGTATTTGGAAGGGACATAATTCTCAGATAAGATGTCATCAGTAACATTTTATGTAATCCTTGGAAAAAACCTACAAAATGCCAAAACACTGCTGACACAAATATCTTTTTCACTTGCTACCCTTAAAGAAGAGAAACTGAGAGTCTTCTAAACAGTTTCTCAGCCGGCGGCTGAGGCTTACTCTTATATAGACTGGACCCAGTGGTTGGGATATTACTATTAGGTCAATACATGTTCCTGTTTGAAGATTATTCTTTGGCAAGTTTCACACTTGGTTATCAATCTATTTCTGCAGTAAATTCTGACCGAACAAAGAGGTGAAATTAGCATGTAAATTGTCTTGTAAGCAAAATGCATGTTTGAAAATGATTTTTGATTCCTGTTGCTACTGCTTTCTCTTTAGTCGCATGTTGGGCATTGCAGATATGTATGGGCTAGACGGGCTGAAAGAAGTAGCTATCTACACTTTGAAAAGAGATTACTGCAATTTTTTCCAAAAGGTATGTCAGTTCTCATGCTACTTTGAACCGTAAAGCGTAAGAATAATTTTCATTCTATTACTTACACATCATACCGACGAGATACTTAACAACTGTGTGGTCAAGGTGTTAGCTTAATTCAACAGACCCTATTCTTATGTGTAAATCTGCTAAATTCACTGGGACTGATGATGGGAGTAAGGCCTGTGGTATCATCCACCTATTTATAGAAGCTTGTAAACCACAACTGATGAAAAGCAGTATTCCACATGATCAATTATATATATATAAATATGGAGTATAATTTAATACATTGTATTATGTATTAAATGTACATACAATATGTAATTTTTCTTAATAGGAATATGGAAACACTATATTTTCATATCAGATTTCATGGGCATGTATTTAGAAAATATTTCTGTTCAATTAAAATTAGTTTAAAAACAAACAACTGCTTAGAGTAAAGCATTTTCATGCATTAGGCTCACTAGGCTGAATACTACTTTATTGACATGTGTGGAAGCAGATGACTTCCCTATTCTGCATAAAGGCAAACAAACTTAAATACTGTGGTAGCTAACAGTACTTCCGTTTGAACTGAAGATTTTGTACTTCTGTACAGTTTCTGTAAGTCAGAATGTACAATAATTTGTGATAATTTGCTAACAACTCTAGCCTGTTCCTGGAAAACAGCAACCTGTACTAGAATGCATGGCTATTGCTCATTCATTGGGAGTGGAAAACCTATATGCTGCTTGCATGAAGTAAGTAAAATAAAATAAATTATGGTTTATGTTTTTCATTTCTCTGCTTTCTGATGAAATTATTTTACTTTACAAGATTTGGTTTATTTTGGCCTATAAAATGTTCACATTTTAAACATTTTTTTTCTTCACAATACTTTAGAAGTATCATTGATGCTGATAAGTGAAGATAGAACATTTTTCACCTTCCTCACCTAAGAAAGGCTCTTCTTTTCAACAGATGGGTAGGAAAACATTTTGCAAAATGTATGTCAGAGAGAAGCTTTGCCAGTTTACCTACTGAACTTCAGAACAACTGTCTTGTTATGTTGATTAACTCTTTGGTAAGTAGTATATAGTGTGCTTTATATAAAAATAGAGCAATGCAAATTTTTTTTATTGTTTAGATATCAGATGGAGCTTCCCTGCGATGTAATTAAAGAGATAATAAATATAGTATTTTAAATCTGCAGTACACTTATATTATGTAAAAGTTCCCATTAAAATAACAATTTAAAAACAGATTTTGATGTGCAGATGTTATGCTTCACGGCACACAGTCTAGTGATAATCACATCAAGTCCAGCATAATAATACAAAATAAGTTTATGAAACACTGCTGTGACATCATAGCACAGCATTATGTATTCAGATAGTGAGGAACAGCAAATTGCTGTATCAATTTCTATGTTAGGTGGTGGCATACATCATTGGTGATGACGTTTTCCTCTGCCTATATTCTAATTTGGAAAAAATGTACTTTTCTTCAGACTTCAGGTGATCACAGGCTATCGGTGATCACAAGCCATTTGTTTACAGGCAAGCTGACTTTTCAAAAATAAAGTAACAGTATAGTATACGTATCTTCTACTTCTCAGATAACAGTACTGAATCGGTCCCCGCAAAGCTCAGCATTAATTTTTTGTGGCACACATTTACATTGTTCCAATTTAGACCTGCCTAAATTTAAATACTTTATAATTGTGTTTCTGTATAAAACTACTCTGAGCTGACTTAAAAGTAACTGATTTGAACTAGACCTGTTCACAGGAATTTGGTCCAGTAATTAGCCTGTAAATACACGGAATTGTAAGAGAGATATGAAGAGTAGGTAGAGGAGCTAAAGGTAAACCTGTACAGCTGCTGCTAAGCATGACTGTATATGTATGTGACTGTAATGTGGATTGGCATACAGGAAGTTTAGTCTAGTTAGCTCAGGTAACATTCACAGGATGATTTTGGTTCTAGCACACACCAGACAGCTAAGTATGTGATGTCTCATACATTTCATGCTGAAGTCCTTGTCCCCGTGTCTCTGTTGCTGTTGTTACCCAATCTAAATAGCTCAGGTATGGCTACCCACACTGCCAAACATACCCCTAGTTCAAGAGAGGTACTCTTAAATGGTTCTGCCCAAGAACTGCCCCTCGCTGAAACAGCTGTGAAGGCTGCTTGGGACTGTTTTCGCTTGGGACTGTTTTCTCTCAGGACTTCTTTGATGGAGTACTTACCCCATCGAGTACTGAGGCCAGCAGGTCAGCTGTGAGTGACAGCTGCTACTGCATATTCTGGTGAAAGCCTGAAAAACAAGAGATTTCGGAGCTATGTGACTGTACCAAGAGAAGCTTGAGAGTATCCACAGTTATAAAAACCGAACAGTTCTTCTACCAGAATGCATAATTTCTAACAGAATAAAGATAGTAGCTATAGCTCTTAAGATGCTAGGTGTTCTGCCATTATATTAGATCGGTATACTCAGCTGTTCCTAGAATATATACATAGCTTTGCATGTCATATATTGTGTAAATATTTGAGAATTTTTAAGTAAGGTTTTCAAGATTATAGATCAGTTCATTCTGATCTACAGGTGTTCATAGTTACACCACCACCCATCTCCAAACTAGCTCAGGTGTGTAGTGTAGACAAGAGTGTACGTAGACACAGTTCTAGGCTCCCCTCCAGGCACCTTTGTGCGACATTATCAGGACAGCTTAAAGGTAAACCTAAGCTGCTTCAGGCCTTCCTTCCCCTCTGTGCCTATTATAATATATCAAGATGCTGTGGTTACAGTTTGTATGGAAATACATGAGCTATCTTTAAGCTACCAGCATTTGCAGAACAGTCATGGCACTGTGGTATTTGGTACTGCTCCAGCTATGCACCCAGCTTCTCCGGAAGATTTTTTGCAGTCTGGACTAAAATGTGTTTTGGTTCCTATTTTACTGATTTAAAACTTGTGTTGGTGGGTCTTTGGTATTCACTGGTATTTTTATGGACTGAAGCCTAGAAAGCATTTATAATTGCAAAATTTAAAGCATAAGACTCTTCTGCCCACAGAACAGTTCTGGTGAGTGATCATTTAACTCTGAGCTCTTAAGACACCTAGTCCAAAAACTTGTAGAATGCCCAGTGGAGTTTTTCACAATCTGCAAAAATGCTTAAGGTTGCTCAAGGGAGAAGGAAGAAAACATCTAAAATTAATTTTGCAGGGGCTACTGTATGTTTTACAATCCTCTTTTCTCTGCTGCTACAGTTCTCCGCTGTAAAACAGTTACACGCAGTTAAACAGTGTGACTCTACTGATCCTTTCATTTACCAATCTTGGAAATGTAAAAGCTAGTTAATGTGGGGCAGCCCTTTAGATGAAGAATGGTGCAAAGAAAAGGAGATTGCTGATCGGAAGATCTCTGGGAAGCCACAATGATGAACGCAGACTCTGAGCTCTTAAGACACCTAGTCCAAAAACTTGTAGAATGCCCAGTGGAGTTTTTCACAATCTGCAAAAATGCTTAAGGTTGCTCAAGGGAAGAAAAAGAAAACATCTAAAATTAATTTTGCAGGGGCTACTGTATGTTTTACAATCCTCTTTTCTGCTGCTACAGAGTTCTCCGCTGTAAAACAGGATGAAGAATGGTGAAAAAAAAATGAGATTGCTGATCGGAAGATCTCTGGGAAGCCACAATGATGAACGCAGAAACATTAAAATGGGAGTGCAGTTTAAAACCACTGTTCAGGTACTTAGCCCTGGTGTCTCAACTACATGCAAGGAAACTACCATTTTTTTAGATAAGTAAAGTGGACTCCACTTTAGAATGGTTAGGAAAAAAATATAACAAGAGAAGTAAAATTCGGTTAGAGCCACTCCTACAAAGTGCTGATATAATTAGAAGTCAATGAAGGCACTTTATATTTCACTGGAAGTGTCTAATGGGAGTAAATGCTTACTGCCTTGTGAGCAGGGGCTGAATTCTGGACAACTCAAAAAGCTTGTAATTGAGTCCAGTGGGAGCAAGATCAACCCATAAGCATGTACTTAATCCTTAATTTACTTTTTATGCATAGAAGCAAACTGGTTTTGCCCACAGATGAGTAAAATAATAAGAAAATATAGCTGAACAATAGCTGGCCAGATTTTATGTTTTAAGGACAACAGGCATGAAGAAAATCCTCCCTGCTTTCTGCTTTGCACAGGACAAACATGATTACAATCTGAATTTACAGTAGGGTTTTTTGTGTCAAATATTTATCTGAATTGTTGCTTTCTCCAGTGTTACTGATCTTACTGCATAATTTATCAGTGACCTGCTAGGTCATGTTGAGTAGAGCTTTCAATCCATTCTGATGCGGATAACAATAAATTCAAGTACTTTTTAAGTGATGTGTTAGCCAGTAGAAGTTGCCCTCAGGTACTGTGCTGGTGAGACAATGCAACTACTTAGACAGGTACAAAAGAATCAAAGGCACAGACCAGGGGAATAAATATTAGGAAATCTGTTTGCTTGTTTTAAATGTAACTATAAACATAACAGTTATGTTTCTTAGAGAAACGTTAGACAACAAAGAGGGTAAGTTGAGTTAAAACTCCATCTGGGAAGACAAATATTTGATATCTGACTCCTTTAAATAAAGCAAAAGGATTCATAACTATGAAAATGCTTGGGTATTTATGTATCCCAAATGCTAGGCCATCTACACTCACCTAAAACTTTCATTTACCCATTTTGTTCAAGAATTTATTACATCTTTCAGTGACCTAAAAGGGTTTTCTCTATTCAGTTTCTCCAGTTAACATTTGCCTTACCTTGTCCAGGACTGCAGTATGTAATGACACACAGTTGAAAAAATACAATAAAAGCTATCGAAAACTTACTCCCTAACTTCAGCAGGCAAAACAGAAGCAGTAGATTTTTCTTTTTCTGCTTTAGTTTTGAAGGTAGGTATAATGCTCAGAATTATCAAAATCCAAATTTATTTAAAGAAGGGAAATTAATACATAACTGGATCCTTGTGTAAGTGTTCAGTAACTGAACAGAAGCTATTTTACAAGCAGCAATTGTTCAGGTGATTACTTGGCAACAGGCTAATTTCTGTTTTTATTTTAAGAGCCACAAGAATGCTGCTTTCTTTTTGATGGAGACTGACCGACTGATCAGTAGTCTTCCCCAAGTGAAATGGACAGAGGCAGCTGTGGCCTTGGCATCTAGGCTGCAAGAAGAATGCATAACATTTATTGTGGCAAACTTCCTACACATAGTACAAAGTGAAGGCTTCTCTGTTTTGTTGCAGGTAAAAGTGCCCTCAAGTTATTGTATGCTTCCAAAAAAACTGCATTATATCACACTTTGGATAGTTCAGGCTGCTAAATAATCAAAATAGTTTCAACTTTTGCTTTGAAGTACAAGTCTATGGAAAATTAAAAAAAAAAATTAGGCAGTGCTAAGTTTTTTTGGGAGGTGGGGGGTTTTTTTCAGTGTTGTTTTAAAGTATGTTAATACTTCGATACGCAGGGTTGATACTGCGTTCAGGTTATGTGCCTGAAGTTAAGCAAAAGTTCCAATTAATTTAGTGGGACAGTTTCTGTGTTGCAAAGAGGTAAGTCTACACATAAGCTTTGAAAAAGCTTTTGGACCCCTGGAATAACAGCATGTACTTAAAAAGAATTGAGTATACTGCTAATACTCATAATCAAACTTCTACTGATTTTTGTTGCGAGTTGCAAGAATGTGGCAATGTTGCAGGTCCTGGTGACTAGCTGGTTCATTTCTCCCATGAAAGATTTTTTTAATATGTCTAGAGAATTAAAGAAAATAAATAGATGTTAAAACATTTTGTCTTTGAATCTAGAGTTGCATGTGGCTGTAAATTCATCGCAGTGTGCCTGTTCCTAAAATTTGGGTTAGCGAGAGGCCTCAGGATGATTTGCTTAGAGGCCTGGGGAGGGGTGGGGTTTTGGAATGGATACAAAGGAAGATGCTCAGCTTTGGAATACCTCCTGCACAGCGTGATAGCAGATCCTCTCTGCTCAGTAATGCTTTTGCATATGAAGTACACTCTTTTGTTTTAAATGGCTGTCCTTTGTTGTTTCCTCAGGCACAGGCAATGAGCAGCAAACCTGACCTTCTAGAACTAATTTTTAATGCAATTGAAAAAAGTATTAATAATGAAAACAGCTGCTTGCTTCTTGTAGCTGTGGATACGTTGTTGGACTCCACAAATGTGAAGGAGATGGTAGGTTTTTCAATATGCAGTGCTTGTAGCAGCAACGATTCTGGTATGGTTTCATGTAATGGTTCAAACCAGATGATGTGGTTTGAGCTCAGGTGGCTCAGTCCTGCAACTGGGGTCACACAGAAAAGCATCTGCATAAATCCAAGGTCCTGTTGGAAGTGCAGAAAATGTTGGCGTTTGTTTACTGGGTATTAACACTTTTTTCTTTTAAAGATAAACCCTATCTATGGCAATAAAAAAATTGAGTGTTACTGAGAATGTATGTCCCATGGGCACCACTGCTCTGTTGATCTTTACCATCACTTTAATGTTGTGATGAGAAAAAACTTACCAAAATATTGCATTACCTTAAACTTACAGGGGAAGAGAGCTTATTCTCTTTCTCTCTATGTATCTTTTCCCCTCTTGTTGTAAAAGTCGTAGCTACATTTGCTTAAGACTGTCCTCTGAAGCAAGGACTGCCTCTTAACCTAGTGTGTGTTTTTTGGACTGGGAAGAGGTGTCAGTCTCCATGTGTGTAACATACTGTGTATATCTGCACAATCTAAATAATGATATTTAAGCCGTGGTTGACTGTAATGCTGGGGATAATTAATGAAGAGTATGACATACTGATTAAAATCCAGAATGATGCTACAAGCAAAGAATGAAAAATAAATGCAAAATGAATTACTGCAATCTGGTGCTATTGTAGGTCTTCTTGGTAAAAGCAATGAAAATTTAATCAGATACATTATTTTTCCCTAGAGTATTTGACCTTGTTGTGACACAGCTGACAGTAAAGAGCTATTATGGGGTTCATTTTAAAAAAAAAAAAAGAAAAGAAAGGATAAAAAGAGCAATGTGTTGTTTTCTAGTGCTGTAGTATGCCTTGGAGTGACTTGGTTTTAAAGTATTGTAAAAAATTACTGTGGTGGGCAATAATCCTTCAAAAACAGCATCTCCATCTACCAGGCCATTATAAAATGTAAGTGATGACATCATTGATCTAGCTTAGGGAGTAAGTAGATTCTGAAAGGAATAATGACTGGTTGCTATGACAATATGCCCCTCGCCAGCTGCTGATTTGTTACTTGAACACAGGGTTTTACGTGCAAGATCCAGGCTCTGCGTGATAAGCTCTGGGTCTTCCTGGTTCAGTCTTTTTATGCTGTTCGTCACACAGAAAGCTGGAAGCTGATGAGGCCAGACCATCAACAGAAAATACAAGCAGGTATGTCTGGCATCAAATGGCATTAGAATTTTTTAGCAATCTGTTTAGTAGATAAAATGTAGGTGGTACTGTGGAGCCAGATACAAATTAAAGCAAAATTTGCGATGCTCTAGGGTTTTGAAGTGGTATTTTAGAATAGAAGCATGACAGCATGCTTAGCTAGTTTCAAACATGGAAATCAGTAAGTCATTTTCTGTGAAAAGTCTCCCCTGCTTTTCTTTTTAGGGGTGTATATAATAGGAACCAAAGCCATGTAGATTGATTCTATTCTTATTTACAGCTACTCTGAATTATTGAAAATACTGCAGTAGGATTAAAAACCTTATCTGTCTCATTTTTAAGGAGATAAGCACTGTGGATGAATTAAACTTGCACAAAGCAGATTATCCATTCTCTGAATTCAGTTTCTATCCTTTATCGTTTTCTACATAATGTCTAAATATTGCTTGTCTCTTGCATAATGCTTATCTTGTGCACAGTGAGTAAATGCAGATAGCTTGACTTCACAGTTGATCGGTATTGTGATATTGTGTATGCTACTGCAGAGAGCCCCTAAGGAGCTGCATAGTGACCTCTCAAAATTTAAACAGGCAGCACTTCCAACAAAAAGGAGTTTTTGTTCTGAACGTTTCTTTGTTTTGAAGTACACAAGTATTCTGAGGGTGCGGAACTGATGATGGAGTTTGGGTTGTGGTTGAATATTAGCTTTGACAGTATGGTGTTACAAAAGAAAATAATGTGTTGAAGACTTCTCTAAAATCAAATCACTTTTGATTCAAAGGAGAAATAAACATTTTTGGTGTCCTTTTTGTTAAAGACATTAGTAGCTAGGATATGATAGTTATAAAATTGTTTACGCCTATAGATAGATGAAAATTTTATTCTACAATTACATGCTGAGAGAAAGATGCAGTGACGGTCTTTCTAAGCATGATTTAGGGATGTAGTCAAATAACATTTCACTGCTACTGTATAAAACAGGTTTACGACTTCTTTCTGGATTATAACATCCTTCAGATGCTGAGGAGCTGGCTTTAGAAACAAGGGTGGTTTTTTTTGTTTTGGGGTGTTTTATTTTTAGGATGATCTTGTCCTTATTGTAGATAACGTTTAGGCTACTGTTCACCAGTGCTTTTAATGCAAAAAATTATTTAACACTGAGGTGTGCCTTAGTTGTCTGAACTCCATCTTGCCAGAAATTGTTTTGTTTCCTTTTAGATTAAATTATAACTCAGAGCTAGCATACATTTTACATGTAAACAGACAGGTTGAAATGTTTGCATAAATTATCTGTTTTTATTACAGGCAAAGCGATCACACAATACTGGTAGACAAATTTTAATCTTCAGGTGAAATATGTCTAAGATAACTTAAAATCAGCTGTCATCTTAAAGATTTCTGGTGGTGGTTTACCTTCTAGAGATTTAACCTATCTAGAATTAGAAGGCTACAATAGAGGAGGAAAAATGCCAAAAGAAGACAGATGATATTGTGGGGTTTTTCATTCATAACGTCTTGCGTTTTCTTAGGCACAAGTTTATATGGATTTTGTCTTAATATATTGGTATGTATTAATGTGCAGAGTCATTGCTAGAAAAAGGATTAGATCCCTGGGGTGCCATTTTCAGGATACCTTTTGTGTGATTTTTTTACAGACCTATATTAAAATTATTTTTAGTATCTTCAATAAGAATTCAGCAGAATTTTTGGGTGTATAATGGATACATTTTTTGTATCCATTACAGAACATGAGGCACTGAATGCTTAAATTTTTTTAATACATTTTTTGCAAAACCTTTTTTCAGCTGAAACATTAATACAAACAAAATTAAACCTTATCGATTCTGGGTCTGTACAGTGTCTATAAATATCCTTTTTGTATTCTACAAGCGCAATTGATTTAAAGGCTTTATTGAAAAATGCTTCCCTCCCAGAGTAGACCAGTCAAAAAAAAAAAAAAAAAAAAGCATTCACTGCCTGAAAATTCCACATGACAATCACAGGGATAACTCCCATGACATTATGCTGCATGCTATCTAAAGAGGCACTATGATCTTACTGTGTACGTTTAGATATTTTGACTTTACCACTTTTGAAAACTAATATAATTTAATGTAATTAATCTCTTCTTTAAACAGTATAAATAAATATTCTATAAATTACAGTAAATCACTTAAAAGTCATTAGTACTCTAAATTTGAATGTCTGTCTTTTTGTAAACTGTGTACACTTTCAAAGGTCTCAGTGCACTGCAAGCTTTAAGTGAGCTAAGCTTGGATAAACAAAAGTGTGTCTTACTATGGAAATGGGGAAACAGGAGAGTTAAACAACTTGCTTATGGCCATGTGACCTCATTACAGATACCACATTTTTTGTTCTGAACATAAATACATGTATTTCCACTTAACATTTACCATGTCACCAAAATTAGCCTTCCTAGAATAATTTACAGGACCCAAAGAACTGATTTCTGATGATGTTAATTGAGTAGGCTGATTGTTTTCTGTCTCCCTTTTTTCCTGCTAAATAGTAAAGAAACTGCTTGTTCCTTTTACAGCTGCATTTGACAAGGGTGATGACCGAAGACTTGGCAAAAAACCTGTATTCACTAGTTCTCAGCTAAACATTTATATCCAAACATTAAAAATACTCAGAAGCTTGCAAACAAAACTATTTTCATTGTGTTTTAAACTGAATATTAATTTGTCATATTATTTATTGGAACTTGCTTTTGAAAAATCTGTGGTTTTTTGGTGAACTGTTATTTCTGCAGAATCAGTAATGTCCATTACTGGAAACATCTTAGGACTCAGCCTATGCTCTGCTACGCTTTCAAACAGATAAGCTCAAATAAAAGACAGGAATTTGTGTTCAGAATCTCGCATTCCCCTGTTGCTATGTAATGAAACTGATCTGTTTCCCAGAGCAAATGGTTTGCTACTGAGCTAATGAATCTCTGCTATTATCACAAGCCACCACAGCACTGAGTCTGTTACGCTCGCTGCCCTCAAAAAGTATTTTTTTAGTGCCCTCAACAACTCTTCTACTGAGACTCACACTCAAAACTACATTATTATTTGGTAGAAAAACAGAATGGGTTTCACATGATTTGAGAGTCTTGGATACATTGCAATGACACTGGTTTCACAAAGATTCCATTTAATGCACTTAATTCTCTGTGTTCCAGTTTGTATCTTTACCTGAGAGAGAGAATGAATATTGTCACTTATCTGGTGGATACACTGTTGGTAATGGTTAAAAACATCAGAAGTATTATAAATTAATTTTTGTTTTTATGTTTGTAATAATTCCTAGTCTTTATTCCTCTTTGGAAAATATGCACATGTAACTCAAAAAAAGTTTTCTTACTTCAGCAGACTCTATAATACAAATAAATATTAGAGAGTAATTTGTCCAAAGTTAAAGTGAAACCCTACCTACGTTATTTCTATATCCTCTATATAGAGCAGTATTTCACATAAGATTTACTAGGCACTCTATTTCTGGTACTTTTATCTTTGAAAGCCAGCAATCTGAGCTAAAATATAATTTTTTAAAAATTATTTCTATGCTGCATTTTGTTGCTTTGGATTCATGTACTACTTAAAAAGTAGCTGTGTTTCAGAAATTAAAGATTATGGGTAGTTTGGTGTTATAAATGTCTTCTGGGGGTTTTTTTTGTTTTTTCCTGACGCTTTTTTTTCTAGCTAAACAAATCTATTGGTATAAGGGATACTTCCTGGACAGAACACGGCAAGAAAGATTGCTGGGGAGATTCTTCCACTAATCAGGATAAAATGAAATCTGATGGATTAGGAGCATCTGGACATACATCAAGCACCAATAGAAACACTGTTAATAAGGCTTCAAAGCATGAGGATGTAAAGGGGAAAGATGGCAAAAAAATAGTTTCCAAGATTACTAAGGATTCAAAACCTGGGGAAAAAGCTGCTTCACCAAAGGCTAGAGCTGTTATAAAGACAAAAATAGAAAATAATGGAAATGTGAAGGCTGAAAGCATGCTTACCAAGCAAGATATAGAAAAGGCATCATCTGCAAGTGGACAAAAAAATTCAGGAAGTGGCAAAGGACTAAAGAACCACGAAGGAAAAATTGCAGGTGCCAGACCTAAAGTGCTGACAGTAACCTCAAGTGCGCAGATCAAAACAAAACCATTGAAAAAAACCACAGGGAAGGAATCTCCCTCCTTAGTGACTGTGGCGGGAACTTCCAGCAAGTCAAACTCAAGCATAGATATCCAGACTGCCAGTGAACAGACCGAGGAACCCAAAGAGGATAAATTGGTAGAGGAAGGGAAAAAAGAGACTGGTAATTTTTTTTTTATTATTTTTTTTTAAGTCCCTTTCTGGTTTGTCCCAGGCTGGTCATACACTGAAAACCAGCCTGGGAAGCTTTAAAAAAATCTACTATAGATTGATAAGAGTCACCTTCTTCCCCTGTAAATGAATATTAACTTGAGATAAGAATATTAAATTTCTCCTCTTAATTGACCTTATTATATAATCAACTGATAGCCATATAAACTAGTAAAAGTTTTACAAGTTTATGCTGTTTTCAATAGTTGATTTTTTTATATATTAGAATTTTTTCAGTACTTATATGCAATGCATTTCCCCCTATAATTAACTTTGAATTTACTTTACAATAGTGAAAACAAAGCCATACGTGAAGACATCAAATGGAGTCACCAACAAAAAAAAAAAGACTGAGCTTGAGGCTAATGTCACAACAAGCAGGTATGTTACAAATCAGTATGTGCTTTACGTGTGTGTGTGTGTATGTTTGTGAAAAAAGTTTCAGGTGAACTATTAAATTTACTGTTAAGTCAACATGTTCTTTTTAATCTGAGAATGGTTGTCTGTTGCATGTTATTAGCAAAACAATTTGAGTTAGCTATTGGAAACATGGCTGTAAAGATAAGATTGGTTTGGCTTTTGTGTTGGATTGTTTCATGCTAATCATTTTAAAATTGTTATAGGTCATTCAGAATTCTGCACACTGGAACAGTTAATGACTACACAAGGTGTTGTAAACTTACGTTTCTGGGATAGCTTAGATTAAACTGGACAGGAAGACAGCTGAAGCACTGTGAAATTGTGAAATGGGTCATTTATGTGTATATATATAAAAACATATATATACACACACATGTAGGTTTTGTTTTCAAAAAATATACCTTTTAGGTTGCATTTGCAATGTTTGTATATGTGTGCATATTAAAACACATTGGTTGTTTAAATTTAATTAAACATTGCTAGATCTTAAGCTTGGAAATAATGGATGTAATAATTTCTTTGCAGTCTGACAAAAAAATCAACTGGAAAAGGGTGTAATGAACAGAATGTACAAGCTGTTCTAAAGAAAAAAGGGAATGTGAGTAGCAATTCTGCAGCACAGCAAAAGGTTCAAAACACACCTACCAGTTCTCCCAAGAACCAAGGTAAAGTTTCGTACAGCAATGAAATGGCTGCCATTATTATGCAAAGCTTTGTCTTTTTTTTTTTTTCCTTCAGCGCAAGCATTTGGCAAAATCTTCTGAACAATTCTGTTTATTTTCCATATTTCACTTTTGGTGACAATCCTAAGCTGTAAAATGCAAATGAATGTGTGTCAACTTCAAAATACTTAAAAGATGGTCTTCACTGCCAATTGGTGTTTTCTTCTGCTTTTTTAATCTGCTTTGCAGAGTCTTTTATTTGCTGATCCCCTGCACTTCTGCACTTGGAACCACGACTGAGTTCAACAGAAATTCTGTAGGTCAAGCATTTATAATATGCATCAAAGATCTGGACTGAAGACTTCTTTATGAACTGTTAGTTTATGCACCCCTTTTTTGGTGATGCCCCCTAGGGGTAGCACTACTGATACTGACCTACCCCACAAATGAATCTTTTATTTGCTGATCCCCTGCACTTCTGCACTTGGAACCACGACTGAGTTCAACAGAAATTCTGTAGGTCAAGCATTTATAATATGCATCAAAGATCTGGACTGAAGACTTCTTTATGAACTGTTAGTTTATGCACCCCTTTTTTGGTGATGCCCCCTAGGGGTAGCACTACTGATACTGACCTACCCCACAAATGAATACTTGATATAAATAGCTGTTGAAATCAAGTGTGGGAAATGATGTTGTACCATGGAGAACTTGATTTCAACAGCTATTTATATCAAGTGTGGGAAATGACATTGTCGACCATGGAGAGGAAACCCTGCTTTATAAAGAAACAAAGTGTTAAGGATGGAGCTCTTTTTAATCCCATTTGGACTTGGCACTTATTGGGAGGGGAAAGAATATTCAAGTTATATTATCTTAAATGCATTATGATATAGAAAACACAGGTCCTGTCAATTTGTGGTCATTAAAGATCTTGCAGTATTTTCTGACTGAGCAGGGATATTAATTCTGGTATTCTAATCACATTATAACTAATGTAATTATTTTCTGCCTACTTTCATTTCCTCCACAATATAAATTGAATACAGTACTCATCACTTCCTGTGCTAAGCTGCTGTGCAGTGTTTCTGTGCACTGTTAGATAGCTGCTGCTTGCTACTGCAGGATGACTACTTCAGTTACAGGTTGAAGTAATTCTTTGATGTGTATAGTCTATAAAGTGTGCTTTAGTTTTGAAGATGGCATGTAAATGCAGGATGGTATTTTGGTCTAGTATTTGTTTTGAGATCTTAATTCTTTAACAAGCCTTAAATACTTCAGTTACATAAAAAGTTGAGTAACTTGCTTCTCAACATAAATGAACACTAACATAAATTTGGTGAATGTATTTTGACTAGCATATACAGTCTTTATAGTCTTTTTCTTATGGTTTGTTAGGACCTCAGGGGGAATCGCCAAATTCACTGAAATCAGGAATGTCTCCAAAACATAACGAAGAAAAAAATGTGTTACAACATCTGGCTCAGACAACATTCTCAGAAAAACATCCTTCAGCCAAGAAGAAGAGTGTTAAGCAGTCGCAAACACCTGTAGCAAAAGCCACTGCAAAAATAACACCTAAAACTCTGCCTCCGTCAAAGCATACTGAGATTATGAACAATAAAGACCCAAAACCAAAAACAGCTGGGCAATCTGTATTAAAATCTCAGTCCTCTGCCCAAAAACACTCAAGGAGTGACTCCCCTGTTGTCCAGAAGAATGTGCACATCTCTGAGCACAGAAGTTCAGGACAGAAACTTGAAAAAACCACGGCTGGTGCTGTGGCAGGTCAGCTTCATGACAATAATGAATGCTATTCTGCAAAGCAAAGTGAATCTTTAAAATCTGTGATGGAAAGTAGCAGCGAAGATAAACTGCTGGCGTCCTGTCAACCCAATAAACAAAAATTATCAGATCCTTCTGAAAATGCGGAATACAAAATACAGTCCGAATCTTCTCCTCCTCTAATTACAGAAGAAACACTTTCTAAACTGCACGTTTCACTGCAAAATGAAATGGAAGCAAGACAGATCTGTGGAGATCAGACTGGAATTAAACAGATTGAAGATACAGAGAAAGATGATAATACAGCTGAATCTCACTGTCATGCAGAGTCTTCCAGTGATGGATACTCAGACTTTTCCAAGGAAACCAATCAAAAGGCTACTGCTTCAGGAGAACTAGTGAAACATTCAAAAGCAACAAAAGCCTGTACTGAACAAAGTGAGAAATTAAACTCTGAAACAGGTCTTAATTACGGTGAAGATGCTTTACCAAGCTTTTCCAGAACGATAACCAATAAAGAGGATGAGACATCATTTCCTCAGATTCATATGGAGGGACTTCTTACAGCTGATGAGCTGCGTGATACATCAGCCTTGACTGAATACAAATCAGTTACAGCAGATTTAGATGATGTTTCAGAATGTTCCACAGAACAAATAACAGAAAAATGTTCACCTAGTTACACAGAGCCTATAGATCCTACAGAAATGCCAGAAAACCACGAAAATGCAGAAATTCCCTTCGTGGACCACTGGAGTACTGGTGCACTAGATCCAAAAGAGAGTCCTGAATCAGATACTGGCAGTGCAACCACATCCTCTGATGATATAAAACCAAGATCAGAAGATTATGATGCCGGAGGCTCTCAGGATGATGAAGGATCCAATGAAAGAGGGATTTCTAAATGCAGCACTACGTTATGCCACGATTTTCTTGGAAGAAGCAGCAGTGACACAAGTACACCTGAGGAATTAAAAATTTATGACAGCAGCCTAAGAATAGAAGTGAAAATGAAAAAAGAGGGTTCTGATCTCTTCCGTGTTAATTCAACGAGTGATGATGAAATACCAAGAAAAAGACCAGAAATTTGGTCCCATCAAGAAAGTGCAAGGACCAATACTAGAGAAAGCAAAAGTTCTACTTTTGGCAATGCACAGTTTACTCAGGAAGCAGACCAAGTTTCTTCTTCTGCTGATGAAACAGAAGATGACAGATCTGAAGCAGAGAATGTTGCAGAAAACTTTCCTCCATCAAATGTTCCTACTCAGCAGTTCCAAGGAATTGATAATTTAGCTTTTGAAGATGCAACAGAAAATGATACTGCAAGTCAAGAGTTTTCTAAAACTAAAAATTTCAAACGATCTGTTTTACTTTCAGTAGATGAATGCGAAGAACTGGGATCTGATGATAGAGTGGAAACTCAAACTTCACGTCAGCATTCAATAGATTCTCTTACTCCTTCAGAAGTATTTGATAGTGTTTCTCAAGAGCACCATGGAAAGACTTTTTATTCAAGATACTCACTGGAAATTGAAGATGGATTCCTGGATTGCAAACAGCGTAAGGATAGAGACAATAGATCGGATAAAAGTGAAAGTTCTCTCCAACATCTTCATGGCACTGAAATCCCAGGGAAGGAGAATCAAGGTGCTTCAATGACTGAACAAAATTGCCCAGAGAAAGTCTATTCAGCAGCTAGTTCGTGTCCAGGAGAAAAACAGAAAGTAAATATGAAGAATGAGGTGGCTAGTGAATTTCACCAGTGCAATAAATACTTAGACAATGATGCAAAATCTCAAGAAAGACCATGTCATTTGGATCTTCATCAGAGAGAAACTAATTCTGATGTGCAAAAGAGCAACTCCGCAAAACCTGTAGAAGCCAGTAAGAATCAGATACTGACTCAGGAAGGTCAAGTGAGAGACAGTCAACCAGCAACTACTGAATGCGCTAATACTGATTTACTTCCAGGTAATGTACAGAAATAGAAACATTCAGTCATTCAAAAACAAATTAATAGGGAAAGCTTTGGCAATTTGTCTGGGATTGAATACTGAACTGAAGTAATTTTGGCTGAAACTATATTAAATTTAAATATTTTTAAGTATTTCACTTGGGTAGAGAATGCTTGTCTGTTTGAAATATCCGTCAATACCCTGCTGTTCAATGAGAAACTTGCCTACAAGAAAAGATATTTTATGTAATGCTAAAAGAAAGATTGGATGCAGTTGTCTGTACTTCAGTTATTTTTGATCCAATCTAACATTGACAGCATCAGCTTTTGATGGAATCTTAGTATTTGTTTTGTCTGCTTGACAACATATAGTATGTCTGAATGGGATGTGCAATAACTACAGTAATAATCTTAACTAAAGCGCACTGAACTGTTTACCTGAACAGCTATATGCATTATTGTTGTAATTTATTTATATATTATACACAAATTTGGATCCTTCTCCCACTGAATATAACTGAATATTTGCCATATACATCAGTGGGAGCGGGTTTGAACTCTGATTTAGAGCTTATGAGATGTCTAAAATTCTAAATTTTACCAGTAAAAGCTTATTTCCTAAAAGAGAGATTATACGTAGAACTAATGCTTATATACAGAAAAGTTCTAACTTGTTTCATGTAGCTAGATGAATACTTGTCTAGTTTTGTGTTTTGTCTTCTTTATACCAGTAATTCAGTCTGTTTATGCCATCAAAAATATACAATAGTGTTGATTACAACTATTGTGTATTCAAGAGTAATGAAATGCTGATGATGATCTATGTTCAGCCAGACCACAGAACAAGAAGACATTAAAAGTTGTACTATTTTTTTTCAGTTTGCTTGCCCTTGCCTGCAGCTGCCCTTGCATGTGCAGTGTAGAAATAAGCCTGTGGATAAACAATTTTGGTTTTAATTCTCTTCTAAGCTGACATAGCTTAAGTCACCATTCAGTAATCATTCTCTATTAATTCCCTCCATGCACCTCCTGGTCTAAATTTAATTTATGTAGTAAATGAGAAATTTCATGTGCATTAAGTGTATATTTACATTGTCATTTTCTGTATCAGAAGCTTAATTATGGAGGTTATTGTTAATTACCAGTGGTGATTGCTGCTTTAACTTAATTTATAAATCATACTTTGTTTTTTATATAGGAAATAAATGCCTCAAATTTTGTCAATTTTGTATAACCCTCCATCCCCCCCTTTTTTTTTTAACCTGGTTGGATTGTCCTTCCTGAATGAGTTAAATTTTGCTCTACACAGCCCTGAGGGGAGGATCATCTGCAATTTTTACATTGTACAGTATTGTGAATTATTTCAGGAGACATAGATGATTATGACACAATGGCACAAACCTGCATGTATGAGCATCGGCCTTCAAAAACCCTTTCTCCAATATATGAGATGGATGTTGGAGAAGCAATTGAGCAGAGGATGGATTCAGAAGCAGCAGTTCTAGATGTCGATTTTGAAGATCAGCAGTTTGCAGAACAGGACTGGACTCTTCTCAGGCAATTGTTATCTGAGCAGGACTCAAATATAGGTTTCAAAAACTCTGTTCCTGAAGACCTTAACTTAGCACAATGTCTCATCAATCAGACACTGTTTCTGGCACGAGATGGTTCGAATCCTCAGGGTACATCACAAGTTGACACATTCAGTAGGTGGACTGAACTAATGTCTCCGCTTGATGATTCTTCAGCAAGCATTACAGTGGCAAGCTTTTCATCTGAAGACTGTTCATCCCCTCAAGGGGAATGGACAATTCTTGAACTGGAAACCCATCATTAAGGTGATCAAATGTTTGCAACTGAACTCCAACCCATTCCCCAAATCTATTTTTGATGAGTTGTTTCCGTACAATAATGAAATACTGCATCAGTCAAGAACGAGCAATTCTTGATACTGAGGCAATCTTTCTGATATAATGAGGTAAATATGTTAATTTATAATCTAGATTTAATCACAAGTACAATAATTTTTCAAGACTTAAATGTATGTCTTTTCTAAAAATGAACTTTCGAGCATGTATTTTCTAGAATTGTTAGAAAAATTAGATGACATGAAAGAAAAATCTTGTTTCCACCCTCCATTTTATCTTCCTTTCTGACATTTAATATTCTCATTGAGCAAGAATTGAAAGATGACTGCACAATTAGTAGAGCTATTCCCCTCCTTTTTTAACCCCTCTCTATATGGTGACTTCATTTTACAACAATAAAGATTCAGAATGGTTGTGTCAAAAGGTGATGTGTGCCAACGCTGCTTTAAATGATGGAAACATATACTTATGTTCAAAGAAAATGTTTCAATATGAATCTGCCTTGGGCCTTATTAATATGAGCAGCTTGTTTCATCTGTTTCTTCCAGATTTGATTTTTGTATTTTTGGTTTGCTTTGTTTAGAAGTTTTCAATAAATTTTTCAAATTGTCTTTCCTTTAAATATAAGACTTCAGAGGGTCTGTGCTATAGGAAGAGCAGTTTCTTTCTTGGAAATGCACGTATTTAAGTAAATATTTTTAATGGCATAGTGCATGAATTCAGAGGAGCTGGTAGAATGCTGCCCCTGTTCTAAAAACCAGTATGTCTGGTATCTCCAAAAGTATATCTCAGTCTGAAGTCGTGGTCAGTGTTACATCAGAAGTCTGACATTGACTAGAATTACCTTCAGGCTTCAATTCATTACACTTGCAACCTTCTGATGCTGTCTGAGGCATAGCAAGATTCTCAGGAATTTGGTTTGTTCTCACAGCTACTACATTTTTGGAGGGGTAACGGGATTCTTGCATCTTCATTAATATCTCTAGTGTAGCTTTTATATTGAGACTAAATGTCAACATAACCATTCTTCTGACTAAGAGTGAAATAGGATATACTTCTCAGTACTGCTCATTCTGCTGCTTTTGGCTATTAATTTGGGTGTGGATAGGACTGTTTATTGTCTTTTCTGATTTGATGGGGGAGGAAGGGAGTGAGAAACTACTTGTAATTCTTACCAAGTCAGAACTCCTCCTGAAACATACAGGGGTTTTTCCCTGCTAAGGTTAGGCCCTCTAAGGTATCTGCATTATGGAAATAGTAGGGCTTGTCTCTCATGCAGCTTAAAATTTAATCAGGAAGTATTCTACCTCCTCTTAGTCATTAACAGAAGTGCCTTCAGAAGAGGGTGCCATATGGCAGTTAAAAGGCTACTAACTTTTTTTTTGTTAAAACTATTTAAGATAAGTGCACAACTTAAGCTAGCTGTAACCACTGATAATATGGTCAGTTTTGCAAGCTTTTGCACAATTCCAACAGTGCATCTTAATTTTCTTTAGAAACTTCGTTTTTTTTGTTTGTAGTCAGAAACTCTCAGTTGTGTGGAAATATGAAGTTGCCCCAGCATATGACTGATGAAGTTATGACTTGTCTTATCTTTGGACTTGACATAATAAAGAGCTCTGAGGCAAAATAGTTTATTTAGAAAGCTACTCTGTTGAACTTCTGATACAGAAGTAAAAGTCATGTTTTATTTTCCCCAAATTAAACGGAGGAAGAATTTTATCTCATTCTTTAATATCAAGGCAGGGGAAAAAAAAAGGAAAGCCTTCCTTTCTCTTTATGTCAATGAAGGACTCGAAACTCATGGAAGGAAGATGTTCAGTCTCATAATAAAAATCTTTCCCCTACTCTTTTAGCTTTTAGCAGCATAAATAGTCTGAGACATAATTAAAAACATTTTAAATGTAATATGCTGTATTTACCCCAGTCTTCACATTGGGTGAGTCAGAAGAACCTTTAGAGGTGCAAATCATCAAGAAAACCCATTTTTCACCTTCAAGTTTACAAGGTATATTGACAGTGGGTAGTCTTTTGGATGAAGAACTATACTATAGTATTAGCCATAGTAAAAGCTGAAACTCTAGAGAAGCTCTTACAGAAGGCTGAGGAATGGTGTTTTCTCAATTTCCATGTAAAAGACTAATGTAAAGGTTGTTTAAAATAAAGTTTAATCAACTTTAAAATCCTGATGATATTCTGGTAGTGGGCATTCACATGTTAAACGAAATGATGGAAAGATGATGATCAAGGATTAGGAAAAGTGAAAGAAGGGTCCCTTTTGTCTATTTTTTGCTTTACCCATATTTTTAACTTAATACTGAATTGAAAAAGTAACACTGGAAAGCGGCACACGAAGTTCCATGTTCATCATATGAAATACAATCATGTATAGGGTTTTTTAATTGTTTTTTTCCTTTGCATTTACTTTTCCAGTTGTATGAAAATTAAATTAGCTTCTGTCTTCAACTGCCCAGTGATGTTGTTGCAATTCCTTTAATAGTTTTGCAGTAGAACAGTGATTAGGATTTGGTGTATTGTTCAGTTGGTACATACGCAGCCATAGAATTCAGCTTCCCACAGCCAAATAGTCTCTGTAGAAGTAGCAGGAATGGAAAGTGGTATTGTTTTTAATTCGTGTTACCAGAGTGTCTGTAAGGCTTAATCAGACCAGCATTCCCCTGGCTAGACATTGTACAAACACAGAACAAACAGAAGGACTTCCCACAGAGTGGTTATAATCCAAGTTAAGACAAAAGACAAAAAAACCATGGATGGGAAGGTAAAATGAGTGTCAATATTTGTCTAGCTGATTAGCAATGGTTTCAGTACACCATCAGTTTAAATATTGTCATTTTTTTATTCTGTATGCATTATGAGAAGGGGAAATCGGAGGGTGAGATTTGGAGGCTGGGTAATGAGGAGGGAGCTGTAAGGATCTATGTTCCTGACCAGCCCTGTGTGTCATCTAAACTCTGTTCCTGTTTGACCTTGTTTAGTAGTCTCTCCTCATTCAGGAGGATGCTCAAGCTTTAAGCAGGTGTATGTGGCTATCTGTTTAATAGTATCAGTCACTTGAGTTCTCTGGAGTCCTGCTTATGCCTCCTGACAGTGATTTTGCCACTGTATCAGCCTCTTCTCCAAAACATGAGAGAATGGACAAAGGTTTGTTTGAAGACTTCATATACAAACAATCAAAGCTAGTGTCGTGGGCTCCAAGTGAATAGTGATTAAGAGGTCCTGAATGACCTCTAAAGTAAAGACAAGGTATGTACATCTGATGAAACAGTGAAAGGGCATCAGTGAAGAAACTAAAGAAAGAGATGGCATAGTCAAAATAATGTTTAAGAACTTACCTTTGCAGTAGTATGATGTTGAATGAGTAAGAGCAGTGAAATTGCTTTGTCAAAGCCTGAGAAGACAATGTTGCAGTCAACAGGTGATACTGACAGCTTACATGAGATCGTTATGTGAATGGGTAAAGATTTCTGTATCCTACAGGTAGTAACAAGAAATTTAGTGAACTATCAGTGAAATTTAGAGGAGAGGACTCGGAAAGCAGAGTTTAAGATAATGACCCTGGTTTTGCCTACCCTGAATGACATGTTATGAAAGTGAAAAATAAGGAAGGATGTTTTAAGTGTATGGATGTATTAAGTTTAAAATAGGCTAGACCTCCAAAAGGTGATGTTAATAGGCATAATTACCCTTTTTGCGTGGAAAATTAGAGTCTAGTCTGGACTGGAGAAGCAGCTCTGCAGGTTTTTCACATATAGATGCTAGCTAAAATAGTATTTGTGGAATAAATCACTGACAGACATATTGTGGAGGGAAAAGAGAAGGAAACTGAGGCCCAAACACTTGGACCACTACAGGAAACTGAGGAAAGTGGAGGTTCTTCCAAATGATCTGCTCAAAAAAACAACTAGGGAAGCAAAGGAAATAAAGAAAGATGGTGACAGGAGTCAAATGAGGATGACAGGATATAAGGGAAAAAGCACCGTTGGCTTCATTGAAGATGGCCCACAAGACAGACGAGTATAAAATAGCAGTTTTGAGGCTGGTTAAGAACACGTTCTTAAGGACTGTGATCAAAATGAGATTTTGGCTTCCTCAGAATGAAAGGCAGGCAGATGCCAGTTTGGTAGAGTATGACGGAACGGCAAGAAGGAAACTGAGCTTAACCATTTAGAGAGAGGCAACAGTTAGAAAAGCACATCAGTTAATAATATATTTTGGTTTGGTTTTTAAAGGCATGAGATTATATCATATTTATATAATGTAGCAAAAGAAATGAGGAGACTGAGACCTAAAGTGAAGATCAGGAGAGAGAAGTATGCATGAAATGAGATCAGCAGACAGTCTGGGCTGCTACCACAAGTGATCAGATAAAAGCATAAGAAAAGACAACCATCTGCTTTTGTGGTAGGGGTAGTGGAAAGCACACTCCATATATTCATCATTTTTCGTTTAGAAAAACTTGAAGAATCATAGAATTACAGAAAAATTGCAGAAAAATCATAGAATTACAGAAAAACGCAGGCTTGAAGGAACCTCCAAAGGTCTCTAGTCCAACCTCCTGCTAAAAGCAGGGGTCACTTCAAAGTTGGATCAGGTTGCTAGAGCCGTATCAAGGTCCATAGCATGTAAAATGGTAATAAAGTCAGCAGACAGGAACATGGTGCTCACAGGAAATAGTTATTTGAGATAAAAAATATTATAATAAAACTACTATGGGTATTGCTGGAAAAGATTAGTAATGAAGTACGAGAAATATGGCTTGCTTGCTATATTTTTAAGTTCTGGATGATGTGTGACGGAACTGTAGACCTTTAATAATCTTATACCACACTTTTTAAGGTTTTAAATTATTTCAAAATTACACTGAATTTTTGAGTTTGCAAATTTTATTATTATTTTGGAGGAACTAGTAGGCAAGAGAACTTCCCGTGTTTCTCACACAAAGACTGTCCATAGGATCTGTTCCCCTAGCATTGTCTATCTCAGTTTCTTTTAGGGAATACGTACAAAAAAAAAATTAACACACCTGTTCTAGGTACAG